ATGGGGGATGAATTACTATATGGGGGATGAATTACTATGGGGGATGAATTACTATAGGGGGGATGAATTACTATAGGGGGATGAATTACTATATGGGGGATGAATTACTATAGGGGGGATGAATTACTATATGGGGGATGAATTACTATAGGGGGGATGAATTACTATATGGGGGATGAATTACTATATGGGGGATGAATTACTATAGGGGGGATGAATTACTATATGGGGGATGAATTACTATATGAGGGATGAATTACTATATGGGGGATGAATTACTATATGGGGGATGAATTACTATATGGGGGATGAATTACTATAGGGGGGATGAATTACTATATGGGGGATGAATTACTATGGGGGAATATTACTATACTTACTATGGATGACACACACACATCATTCATCTACTCTTGGTCCGGCCCCCGGGTCCAATATATGAACCCATTGCGGCCCTCAAGTCAAAAAGTTTGCCCACCCCTGTTATAAACCATCGCCGAGGCATTTTTTTTTTTTTGGCATCGATGTCCCTAAACTAGGCGATTATCAATGGTGGATGTTTGCGACAACCCACCCCTGCACACGTCCCCCCCCCCCCCCCCCACCTCGTAAGTCACAAAACAAAGCCGGGTCACACCACCAGCCTGTGGCCTGCATACTGACCGGTCTCATGCAAGATCCAACGAAAAAAAAAACAATGCACTTCTTAGAAAACAGTGCCCCCCTGCTGAGCCCCAGAGGGTATCGCCCTCTACAAGAGATGACAATCGCTCTGCACAATATTTACCGGACCGGCTCATTTCCTCTCAATCATCCTCCGGCTTTAATTGCCTCAGCAGATTATGCATCATCTGCCGCAAGAGATGATAAAGACCAGAAATATCGCGCTGTAATCTGCGCGTCAGCCGCTGACATGTTAATTGCTGCCGGTTTGAGAAAACACATCAATCACCCGGCAAGCAAAGCAGAAGGACAATCGGTGGATGTGAAGAGCAGCCGGAACCACGGGGGGGGGGGGGGGGGGGGGGGCCTGGTACAGTGCAGGTGCAGGATGGGAAAGCAAAGAGGCATTTTTGTAAATAAGATTTCATTTTTTTTTTTTAATTAACCATTTTAATACCAGAAAACAGGGGCGGCCCTTTAATTAGGCATATGAGGCAGTTGCCTAAGGCGTATCGTTCACAGGGGCCTCGTGCGCTCACAGGGGCCGCTTAATTTGTCTAAAGCAGTGCAGTGGTGGACTGGGGCGTGGGGGTGGGGGGGCAATTGCCAGCACTGTGGGGAGGGGCCGACCACTGCCCCGCCTATTCTAGTTGGAGGCATTGAGTCGGGTCGGGAGAGGGAGGCTGAGCACTCGCCGTCACTGCCGTACTGGACCGCCGGCCTATCCTCTCAGCTCATTGATGCAGAGTCCAATCAGATGCCGAGGCAGAAACTGGAGGGGAAAGTCAGCTGACAGCCAGTAGAATGAAGGGGGAGGAGCTCTCTCCGTTCTGCGAGGAGACCCCAAGTCAGGAGGAGGAGTCACTGGAGGCACAAGAAGGAAGCCAGACACAGGTAGAGACACAATGAGCAAGCAGGAGGGGGAATTGACTGACACTGAGCCCATCACCCCCCCCCCCCCCCCCACCACCACTGCTGCCTCTGACTGATCCCACCCTCCCCTCCCCCACCAGGCGGTGGTGGTGGGGATAGGGCTGACAGTGGTGGTGGGGATAGGGCTTACATCATTGGCGGTGGTGGGGATAGGGATGACATCAGTGGCACTGGTGGTGGTGGGGATAGGGATGACATCAGTGGCACTGGTGGGGATAAGGATGACCACAGTGGCAGTGGTGGGGATAGAGATGACCACAGTGGTAGTGGTGGGGATAGAGATGACCTCAGTGGCAGTGGTGAGGATAGGGATGACCTCAGTGGCAGTGGTGAGGATAGGGATGACCTCAGTGGCAGTGGTGAGGATAGGGATGACCTCAGTGGCAGTGGTGAGGATAGGGATGACCTCAGTGGCAGTGGTGCGGATAGGGATGACCTCAGTAGCAGTAGTGGTGGTGGGGATAAGGATGACCACAATGGCAGTGGTGGGTATAGAGATAACCACAGTGGAAGTGGTGGGGATAGGGATGACATCAGTGGCAGTGGTGGTGGGGATATTGATGACATCAGTGGCAGTGGTGGTGGTGGGGTTAGGGATGACCATAATGGCAGTGGTGGGTATAGAGATGACCTCAGTGACAGTGGTGGGGATATGGATAACATCAGTGGCAGGGATAGGGATGACATCAGTGGCAGTGGTGGTGGAGATATGGATAACATCATTGGCAGTGGTGGGGATATGGATGACATCAGTGGCAGTGGTGGGGATAGGGATGACATCAGTGGCAGTGGTGGGGATAGGGATGACATCAGTGGCAGTGGTGGGGATAGGGATGACATCAGTGGCAGTGGTGAGGATAGGGATGACATCAGTGGCAGTGCCGGTGGTGGGATAGCCGATAACTAGTCGGTGATCATCAATCCATTCCTCACTCACTGTGTCTGTGAGGATCGGAGATCCGATAACCAGTGAGGACCGAGGATTAACAGGGACACAGGCAGCCATTAAACACCTAATGGGGTTCCAACCCCTCCCCACTTTATTCCAAGGTTTTGGTTACAGAGACCCCTGAAGGGGAATGTATAACGTTTTCTTCATTTGTGGTCAGAAAAAAATTATTTTACTCTTTTTTTTTTTGTCTGGTAAAAAATTAAATACTACACTTTAATATTATGCATTTATTTTTAGCCAGGAGGTGGCGCTTTATCATTAGTTTCACGTTTTTGTGCTGCCTACTTATCATATACTGTAAGCAAAACCCCGTTAACAGAGTTCAATAGCTGCAGCTGAGTGAAGGTGTCAGGACAGAGACTCTCCTTCATGGCACAAGGCAGGCCGCCTCTTCCGTGCTGTTCAGCCAACACGTGGGCTCTGCCACAAGGATCATACTTCTTGTAGAACACAGACTGCATACACACAGGAATCTATGAATGAAACGTTCGATGTGAGGATCTGACAAACATCCCCACAGCCAGGGTGAACATTGCCGTACTTCCTCTAATGTGGTTCCATAGATCATCAGTGACATCTAGAGGCCACAATATGTGTTTTTTCTTTTTCTGCTTGAGGCATTTCAAGAAAAACAAATGTGCAGATTGGCCAGCAGGTCACAGTGATGATATAGGAACTATACCAGTGGTCTCCAAACTGTGGCCCTTTACTTGCTTTTACCTGGCCCTTGGGGCATTATTCCCCACAACTGTCAGCAACAATGGGACGCTATTCCTCCCACTGACCCACCAATGATGGGGCACTATTCCTCCCACTGACACCAATGATGGGGCACTATTCCTCCCACTGACACCAATGAGGGGGCACTATTCCTCCCACTGACACCAATGATGGGGCACTATTCCTCCCACTGACACCAATGATGGGGCACTATTCCTCCCACTGACACCAATGATGGGGCACTATTCCTCTCACTGACACCAATGATGGAGCACTATTCCTCCCACTGACACCAATGATGGGGCACTATTCCTCCCACTGACACCAATGATGGGGCACTATTCCTCTCACTGACACCAATGATGGAGCACTATTCCTCCCACTGACACCAATGATGGGGCACTATTCCTCCCACTGACACCAATGATGGGGCACTATTCCTCCCACTGACACCAATGATGGGGCACTATTCCTCCACTGATACCAATGATGGGGCACTACTCCCCCCACTGACACCAATGATGGGGCACTACTCCTCCCACTGACACCAATGATGGGGCACTATTCCTCCCACTGACAGCAATGATGGAGCACTATTCCTCCCACTGACACCAATGATGGGGCACTATTCCTCCTACTGACACCAATGATGGGGCACTATTCCTCCCACTGACACCAATGATGGGGCACTATTCCTCCTACTGACACCCATGATGGGACACTATTCCTCCTACTGACACCAATGATGTGGCACTATTCCTCCCACTGACACCAATGATGAGGCACTATTCCTCCTACTGATACCAATGATGGGGCACTATTCCTCCCACTGACACCAATGATGGGGCACTATTCCTCCCACTGATACCAATGATGGGACACTATTCCTCCCACTGACACCAATGATGGGGCACTATTCCTCCCACTGATACCAATGATGGGGCACTACTCCTCCCCCTGACATCAATGGTGGGGGGCGCTATTCCTCCCACTGACACCAATGGTGGGGGCGCTATTCCTCCCACTGACACCAATGGTGGGGGCGCTATTCCTCCCACTGACACCAATGGTGGGGGCGCTATTCCTCCCACTGACACCAATGGTGGGGGCGCTATTCCTCCCACTGACACCAATGGTGGGGGCACTATTCCTCCCACTGACACCAATGGTGGGGGCGCTATTCCTCCCACTGACACCAATGGTGGGGGCGCTATTCCTCCCACTGACACCAATGGTGGGGGCGCTATTCCTCCCACTGACACCAATGATGTGGCACTATTCCTCCCACTGACACCAATGATATGGCACTATTCCTCCCACTGACACCAATGATATGGCATTGTTTATTTCCACTAATGCCAGGACATTTTTGTCTTTCACTGGCTACAGTCCGGCCCTCCTAAAGTTTGAAGGACAGTAAACTGGCTCTTTTCATTTATAAAATTTGGAGACCCTGAACTACACACGAGAAAATACACCAATTTTCATCCATATTGTGCAGATATGTGTCAAATCTGGAAATCCGGAAGTGGATTCCATAGTAACTACAGTTCTGAAGCAGCAAATTAAAAAACATATTTAAAAAAAAACAAAACAAATTATAGAAACTGATTCAAAGAAATGAATGATTGCCGGTAACAAAATCTGCTGAAATCTATCCACAGAATAAAGTTGTCGCATCTTTTGGACAAAAATGAACATCCAAACATGGCGGCCTCATAGAGGACGATACCTTCTGCCCGGCAATCAGCACTCGGTCTCCCAGCTTCAGCCCAGCTGACCGGCGCAGTGTGTTCCTGAGGGCGCCATCTTGCTTGGGGAGGACGAATGTGGAGAGATCCCGCAGGAGGGGCACGGCGTCCAGCAGAACCTGTTTGATTTCTTTGGCAACAGCGGCAGCATCAGCCATTTCCAATGGCATATCGATGGGATCGGGAACAACATCCGCAGGGGTGTGTCCTTTATCGTCCTATAGAGAGAGAGAGAGCCAATCACCACCAAGGAGCCGAATAGTCAAGACTAGATAGGAGAGGGGAGACGAGAAGGAGAAGAGGAGACGAGAAGGAGAAGAGGAGACGAGGAGAGGGAGAAGAGGAGAAGAGACGAGAAGGAGAAGAGGAGACGAGAAGACGAGAGAAGAAGGACGAGAGGAGACGAGAAGGAGAGAGGAGAAGAGACGAGAGAGAGTGCGGAGAAGAGGAGGAGAGAAAGGAAGGAAGAGGAGAGAAGAAGACGGGGGGAGAGGAGGACGAGAGAAGGGAGAGAAGGACGAGAAGACGAGAGAAGACGAGAAGGAGAAGGAGAAAGGAGAAGGGCGAGAGGAGGAGAAGAAGACGAGGAGGGAGAGGGGGAGGAGAAGGGAGAGAGGGAGAGGAAGGGGAAGACGACGAGGAGAGAAGAGAAGAGAGAGAAGAAGAGGAGAGACGAGGGAAGAAAGAGAAAAGAGAAGAAGAGGACGGAGGAGAACGAAGAGAGAGAGAGAGAAGAGGAGAGAGAAGAAGAGAGGAGGGGAAAAGGAGAGAGAGACGAGGGGGGGGGAGAAAAGGGGACAAGGAAAGAAGAAGAGGAAGAGAGAAGGGGAAGAGAGAGGGGGGGAGGAGGGAGAAAGGGGAGAGAAGAAGGAAGAGAGAGGAAAAAAGAGAGGAGAGGAAGAGAGAGGAGAAGAGAGAGGGAAAAGAGAGAAGAAGGGGGAAGAGGGAAAGAGAGAGGGGAGAGGAAGGAGGACGAGGGGGGGGGGGGGAGAAAGGGGGAGGAAGAGAGAAGAGAGAGGGAGAGAGAAAGAGAGAGAAGGAGAGAGAGAAGAGAAGAAGGGGGGGAAGAGAGAGAAGGAGGGGGAGGGGGGGGGAGGAGGAGGAAGGGGGAAGAGGGAGAAGAGAAAAAGGAGAGAAGGGAGAAGAGAGGAGAAGAAGGAAGAAGGAGGGGAGAAAGAGAGGGAAGAGAAAGAAGAGGAGAAGACGAGAGAAGGAGGAAGGGGGGGAGAGAGGGAGAGGGGGAGAAGGGAGAAGGAGAAGAGGGGAGGGGAAGGGGGGGGAAGAAGGGAAGGGGGGAGAAGAGGAGAAGAAGGGGGAGGGGGAAGGGGGAAAGGAAAGAAGGGGGAAGGGAGAAGAGAGGAGGAGGAGAGGGAGAGAGGGGAGAAGAAAGGAAGGGAGGAGGAGGGGGGGGAGGGGGGGGAAGGAAAGGAGGGAAGAGAAAGGGGGAAGGAGGGGAGGGAAGAAGGAAGAGAGAAGGGAGAGAGGAGAAGGAGGAGGAGAGAGGAGGAGAGAAGAGAAGAGGAGAAGGGAGGGGGAGAGAGAGGAGGGGGAAGGAAAGAGGGAAGGAGAAAGGAGGAGGGAGAAGAGGGAGAGAGGGAAGGGAAGAGAGAGGAAGGAGAGAGGGAAGAGGGGGAAGAAGAGGAGAGAGGAGGGGAGAAAAGAAGAGAGAAGGGAGGGGAGAAAGAGAGAAGGAGAGGGAGAGAAGGAAAGGGGAGAGAGAGAAGAAGAGAGGAGAGAGGGGGGGGAGAAGGGGAGAAGAATCGGGGAGAGGGAGAAAGAGGAAAGAGAAGAGAAGGAGAAGAAGGGGGAGGGGAGAGAGGAGGAGAGGAGAGGAGAGAGAGGGGGGAAGGAAGAGAGAGGGAGAAAGGAGAGAGAGGGGGAGAAGAGAAAGAGAAGAGGGGAGAGAGAGAAGAAGAGGAGGGGAAGAGGAAGAGGAGGAGGAAGAGAGCAAGAGGGAGAGAGGAGAGAAGGAGAAAGAAGGGGAGAAGGAGGAAAGGAAGAGGGAAGAGAGGGAGAGAGGAGGAGGGGGAGAGAGAGGAGAAAGAGGAGGGAGAGGAAGGAGAGGGGGGGGGGAGGGGGGAGGAGAGAGGGGAGGGAGAGAAGGGGGGAGAAGAGAAGAGAGGGGGGGAGGAGGGAGAGAGAGAGGGGGGAAGAAGAAGAGGGAGAGGAGGGGAGAAAAGAGGGGAGAGAAGAGAAAGAGAAGAAGGGGGAGAGAGAGAGGAAGGAGGGGAGAGAAGGGGGAAGAGGAGGAAGGGAGAAGGAGAGAGAAAGGAGCAAGAAAGGGGAGGAGGGGGAAGAAGGAGAGGAAAGGGAAGAAGGAGGAGGAGAGAGAAAAGGGAGAGAGGAGAAGGAGAGAGGAGGAGGGAGAAGGAAGGGGGGAGAAGGAGAAGAGGAGAGAGGGGGGGGGGAGGAGAGGAGGAGAAGGGAGGAGAGAGGAGGAGAGAAGGAGAAAGGAGAAGAGAAGGAGAGAAGAGAGGGAGAGAAGGGAAGGAAGGGAGAGAGGGGAGGGGGGAGAGAGGAGGGAGGGGGAGGGAGAGAGAAGAAGAGGAGGGGAGAAGAGAGGAAAGGGAGCAGGAGGGGGAGGAAGGGAGAAGAGGAGAAGAAAGGGAGGAAGAAGAGGAGGGGGGAAGAGAAGGGAGAGAGAGAAGAGGAGAGAGAGGAGGGAGAGAAGAGAAAGAAGAGAAAGAGAAGGAGGAGAGAGGAGAGGGGAGGGAGAAAAGAGAAGGGGGAAGGGGGGAAGTGAGGGGACCGAGGAGAAGAGAGAGAAAGAAGGGAAGGGAAGGGAAGAGAGAGGGCGAGAGGGGGGGAGGAAGGGAGGAGAGAGGAGAAGGAGAAGAAAGGGAGGGGAATCGAGAGAGGAGAGAAAGGAAAGGAGGGGGGGAAGGGGGGGGAGAGAGAAGGAGGAGGAGGGGAGAGAAGAAAGGGGGGGGGGAGGGAAGGAGGGGAGGAAGGGGGGAGGGGAGAGAGAAGAGAGACAGAGAGGAGGAGGAGAGGGGAGAGAGAAGGAAGAGAGGGAGGAGGGGTGGAAAGGGAGAGAGAGAAGGAAGGGGAAGAGGAAGAGAGAAGGGGAGAGGGGGAGGAGAAAAGGGGAGGGGGAAGGGAAGAGGGGGAAGGAGAGGGAGAAGAAAGAAGAGAGAGAGGAGGGGAAGAGGAAAGAAGGGAAGGGAGAGAGGAAGAGGAGAAGAGAAGAGGAGAGAGGAAGAGAGAGGAGAGAGGAAGAGAAGGAAGGAAGGGGGGGGAGAAGAAGAAGAAGAAGGGAAGAGAGGAGAAGGGGGGAAGAAGAGGGGAGAAGAGAGAGGGAGAGGAGAGAGAGGGGAAGGGGAGGAGAAAAAAGAGGGGGAGGAGGAAAAGGAGAGGGAGGAAGGAGAGGAGGGGAGGGGGGGAAAAGAAGGGGGGGGGGAGAAGAGGGGAAGAGAGGGAGGGAGGAAGAGAGGGGAAGGAAAAGAAGAGGGGAAGAGAGAGGGGGAAGAAAGGAGAAGGGGAGGGGGAGGGGGAGAAGAAAGAGAAAAAGAGAGAGAAGGGAAGAGAGGGAGAGGGAAGAGGGAGGGGGGGAGGGAAGGAGAAAGAAGGGGGAAGGGGAGAGGAGGGGAGAAGGGAGAAAGGGGAGAGGAGAGGGGAGGAGAGAGGAGGGAGGGAGAAGAAAAGGGGGGAAGAGATCAGGAAGGGGAGAGAGAAGGGGGAAGAAGAGGAGAAAGGAAGGAGAAGAAAGGGGGGAGAAAGGGGAGAGAAAGAGAGAGAGGAGAGGGGAGAGAGGAAGAGGGGCGGGGGGGGAGGGAGGGGGGAAGAGGAGGGAGAAAAGAGAGAGGGGAGGAAGGGAAGAGGGAAGGAAAGGAGAAGAGGAGAAGAGAAGAGAAGAGGAGAGAGGGAGGGAGGGAGAGAGGGGAGGAGAGGAGGGAAAAAGAGAGAGAAAAGGGAGAAGGGGAAGGGAAGGAGAGGGGGGGAAAAGGGAAGAAGGGGGGGAGAGGAAAAGAAGAGGAGGAGAGGAGGAGGGGAAGGGGGGGAAAAAGAGAAGGGAGAGAGGAGGAGGAGGAGGAGAGGAGGGGAGAAGGGAGGAGAAAAAGGGGGTGGGAGGGGAAGGGGCAAGGGAGGAAGGAGAAGAAGAGAAGGGGAGGAGGAGAGAGAGGGGGGAGAAGAGAGGAAGAGAGGGAGAAGAAGAGAAGGGGGAAAGGGAAGGAGAGGAAGAAGAGGAAAAGGGGAGAGGAGAAGGAGGGAGAGGGAAGGGCGGAGAAGGAAGAGAAGAGGGGAGAAAGGGGGAGGAAAGGAAAGAGAGGGGAAAGAGGAGGGAGGAGGAGAAGGAGAGAGGGAGGGAAGGAGAAGGAGAGGAAGGAGAGGAAGAAGGGAAGGGAAGAGGGAAGAAAAAAGAAGAAGGGGAAGAGAGGAGAAGAAGAAGAGGAGAGAGGAAGAGGAGAGGAAAGGGGGAGAGAGGGGAAGAGAGAGAGAAGGAAAGGAGAGAGGAAGGGGAAGAAAAGGAAAGGGGAGAAGAGGGGAAGGGAGAGGGGGGGGGGGGAAGGGGGGAGAGGAGGGGAGAAGGAGGGGGAAGGGAGGGAAGAAGGAAGGGAAAAGAGAGGGGGAGAGGGGAAGAGAAGAGAGGAGGAGAGAAGAAGGGGGAAGGAGGGAGAGGGGAGAGAAGAAAAGAGAAGGAGAAGGGAGAGAGAAGAGAAGAAGAGAGAGAGGGAGAAGAGGAAAGAAGAGGGGAGGGAAGGGGAAGAAGAGAAAAAAGGGGGAGAGAAAAGGAAGGAAAAGGAAGAGGGAAGGGGAAAAGGAAGAAGAGGGGGAAGGAAGAGAAAAAAGAGAAAAGAAGAAGAAGAAGGGAGGAGAAAGAATGGGAGAGAAGGAAGAGGAAGGAAAAGGGGGAGAAAGAAAGAGAGGAAGAGAGAAAGGAGAAAGAGAAGAGAGGGGGGAAGGAAGAAGAAGAAAGAAAGAGAGAGGAGATAGGAGAGAGAAGAGAGGGGGAGAAAGAGAGAAAAAGAAGGAAAGAGGAGGGAAAGAGGGAAGAGAAGAAAAAGGAGGAGGGGAGAAAGAAGGGGGAGAAGAGAGGGGGAAAGGAGGGAAAGGAAGGAGAGGAAGAGAAGGGAGGGGAGGGGGAAGGGGAAAAGGGAAGGGGAAAGAGGGAAAGAGAGAGGGAGGAGAAAGCGGAGGGAGGAGAGAGAGAGGGGAAAAGGGGGAAGGAGGAGAGGAAGGAAAAAGGAAAAGAAAGAGAGGGGAAAGGGGGAAGAGA